CGGGACCCGGGGCACTCAGAGGCCACGGGCTCAAGAGCTGGGAACTCAGGTGTCCTCGTCTTCCTTGTGAATCACAACCGTCCCTCTTGGGTCTAAATGATTTTAGACACACACGCTGTGTGTCCAGGAGCTAGGTCAAGAAATTAAATTTACCGAGACCGGGTATAGCAGAAAAGTAGTTTGGGCTTGATAAAGGGAAGTTTGGAATGTTCATCAATTGCCCTATTTAGAATTGAATTCCTCCACCAATGCCAAGGAATATGGTGGTAAAATGACAGCGACCGCTGAGGGTTCCAGGTGCTGCTCTAAGCTCTTCGTCTGGGCAGTTCTAGACTCTGGATCACACCCATTTCACAGATGAGGAGACCAGAGCGCAGAAGGGTTGAGTATCGTGCCCAAAGCTGCACACAGAGCCGGGTTCTAACCCAGCACCATGCGTCTAGACCCCTTGCCCTCAGCCCTGGACCCCCATCTCCTCAGCACCTCCCAGGAAGCAGCAATGCTTCCCTGGCCAGCCGTGCACGTGTGGCTGTCAGCTTTTAAAATGCAGCCCCGTCTGACCAGGACATTCCTCCAGGGCCGCACGATGGTCATTTCCCAGGACGGTCAGACGCAGAAGCAGCCCTGCAGATGATGGTTTTGCAGATTGGCTTCTGTTGCACGAGGTGGGGCAATAGACCGGGAACCGAAGTCTTTTGTTTCCCGGCCATTGGAGCCCCTGTAAGCCGGCTGCCGGCCGTGGCCCTTTAATCTCCCTTCTCTGTCCTCTCCCTGGGTATTAGCAGGACAATGAGACACGTGGGCCCCAAGCCACATGCAGGCACACCACATGTTCTTACAATTGGCCTCTGTCCCCTTCAAAAGAAACCGCTTTGTGCCCTAAATAGCTAAATAGCCGCTGTGCTTTGAGGCACCGCTGGCCCCGTCCTTGGTGCTCAGAGCGCTCTGTGGCTCACTCCGCACAGATGCGGCTCTCGGATTTCTGTCCACTGGCCATGTGCACATGACAGAGGCTCCTTGTCTGCATCACCCGCTGGGGTGCCCGACACCTGCCCGCTGGAACGTGGCATCACACAGCAGATGTTTATCTTTAGAAATCTTCCATCCGTGTTACTGAGCTCACCACCAGTGCCTCTCTGTGTGATGGCCCCAGCGGGCCTCCCTGATCTTGGACACATGCTTACTTATCTATTCATCCAAATACTCACTTACCAGCCGAGGGGCTTAGGTGGGGTCCTCGATTTTTGAGTGTCAGTGTGAGAGAAAGAGAGGGGGGAGGACCTACAGAGATCAGAGCATCCCAGCCGATTGCTTCCTGCCTCAGGACCTGCCCAGAATAAACGACTCCAAATAAGCCCTTATCTCCTGAGTGCATCCCCGCTTCTCTCTCCTGCTCCAGCCTGGGCCCCAGCTCAGGCGTAATTCCTCCTGCCTTTCTAGGTCGTTCATCGAGACCTGAAGCCGAGCAATATTCTGTATATGGACGAGTCTGGAAACCCCGAATCCATCCGAATCTGTGATTTCGGGTTTGCCAAGCAGCTGCGAGCCGAGAATGGGCTGCTGATGACCCCCTGCTACACAGCCAACTTCGTTGCCCCGGAGGTGAGAGGACCACTGAGCCAGCGGGAAGACGGCCCTTTCCTACTTTCGGAGTCACTGCGCGGTTCGGTGTATTGGCATCAGCAGTAATTCCAGAGGCAGAAATGAGAAGCTTCGGTCTCTTTGTGCTCAAACACAGTTATTTTACCATTTTATTTCCTATTCGTAAAATCTGTAACGGTGAGGGTTGCATGTGGAATTGTCATTGTGCTCTAGACGATTTCGATCAAATCTGCCTGTCTGTTAGGAGTTACGGTGAGAACTAATGCGTCGATCTCTCCTACAACCGGGAAGGGAGCCAGTGGGTCACCTGGGATCAGAAATCTACCCAGCAGCTGCACCAGGAGAGAGTGCACATGCGTGGACTTACTTGGTGCCAGAGTTCTCGGTCCAGATTGTTTCCCAAAGCTCCAGGAGCGAGTCAGGTGCCATGGGACTGAACGCTGGGATTCCGCCGAGATTTGCGGATGAGAACGCGCGTGAATCCTGCAGGCTCTCCCTCCCGCCCCCTCTTCTCAGGGCACCAGAGGCCTCGGCAGCACATCTCGTGTGTGCTGTGCCCTTTTCAGGCTCCTGGGGATCATTTCCGGTAGGTCCTGAAGTCACTGGTGTGTCTGTGACAAATCCAGTTTCTTGCTTTTTAGAAAATTAACCAAACCCGAGATGCTGGTGAGAGCAGAGCTGGAAACAGAAGAGGCTGACGTTGCTGATGGGGGCGGTAGGGGGGTGGGGAGGTCAGGAATGAAAACAGACGTTAGGTTCTGCGTGGATCCCTCTGGTGGTTGGTGAAGCTGCTCCAGGGTGGCCCTGGTGGGTGCAGTGACAAGTACAGAAAGTCCTAAGAGAGAGGCATGCTTGCCCCTAGTGGCCAGTCTGTGAGCTGGGAGGTGACCCAGGTGGGGTCCACAAGGTGACCACGGCCAGTGGTCCACGAGGAAGATGTCCACGTACCTGCCAGGATACGGATGGATATGCAGCTGGGGCCATCGTTAGGCTGTCCAGATGCTACCTGTAGCCCCTTTAAGAATAATCTGGTTCTATTTGAGCAATATTATTGCCTTATTTGATCGCTACTAATGTTAATAGTATTGGTTTTAGTGATTAGAGACTACCTTACGTTGGTATATTACTTTACCATTTACTGAGCACTTTTACCAGTATGTTTTGCTTTTATCCTCCTATGCCACATGGAGTGGGCAGGGTAGATACTGTTAGCCACAAACACCTCACAGATTCACAGAAAAACAGACCCCATGTGTTGAAGGGACTTTGAAGATCACTCAGCTAGTGAACACGGGCAAAGGGCTTGAACACCGAACGCTTGGTGTGTTCACACGCCTCGGTGACCTGCCATGCAGCAGGCACCACGCCCGAGGTGCAAAGATCCCGGCCCCAGTGTCTAAGGAAATTGAACACGGCTCTCCTGACTTCACATTCAATGTCAATCCAGTAACCTGCAGTCGCCCGGAGTGCTCGTGCTGCTTTCTTTTTTTTTTTTTTATTAATTAATTTATTTATTTTTGGCTGTGTTGGGTCTTCGTTTATGTGCGAGGGCTTTCTCCAGTTGCAGCAAGTGGGGGCCACTCTTCATCGCGGTGCGCAGACCTCTCACTGTCGCGGCCTCTCTTGTTGCGGAGCACAAGCTCCAGATGCGCAGGCTCAGTAGCTGTGGCTCACGGGCCCAGCCGCTCCGCGGTATGTGGGATCTTCCCAGACCAGGGCTCGAGCCCGTGTCCCCTGCATCGGCAGGCGGACTCTCAACCACTGCGCCACCAGGGAAGCCCTCGTGCTGCTTTCTTTATTGTTATTCAACTGTAAACGTATCAGAGGATTGCCCTCCCCTGAAGTGTGTAACCCCCCGGGACACGAACACTCTCCCGTGTTAACTAGTCCTCAGAAACTCAAACACAGAACTACCAGGTGACCAAGCAACTCCGCCTCTGGGTACAAACCCAGAAGAGTTGAAAGCAGAGGCAAGAACAGATATCTGTTCACCCGTGTTCGCAGCAGCAAAAAGGTGGAAACAACCCAAGTGTCCATCGATGGATGGACGGTACAGTGGAATATTAGCCTTCAGAAAGAGGGAAATCCTGTCCTACACCACACCATGGATGAACCTTGAGGACACTGTGTTGAGTGTGATACGCCAGGAAGAAAAGGACAATTATGTGATTCCTCTTACATGAGGGACCTAGAGTTGGCAAATTCATAGAGACAGAAAGTTAAATGGTAGTTCCCAGGGGCTGGGGGGAGGGGAGGGGGAGTTGTTGTTTCATGGGGACAGAGCTTCAGTTTTGCAAAAGGAAAGGAGTTGTGGGGATGGGTGATGCTGACAGCTGCCCAGCAGCGTGAATGTACCTAGTATCACTCAACCGTATGCCTAAAAACGGCAAAGATGGGAAATGTTATGCTAAGTATATTTTACCAGAGTAAAAAAAATTCTTCTGTTTTGTTTTGGGTTTTGTTTTGTTTGGTTTTGGTTTCTGCCACACTGCACGGCTTGCAGTATCTCAGTTCCCCGACCAAGGACTGAACCTGGGCCACCGCAGTGAAAGCCCGGAATCCTAACCACTAGGCCACCAGGGAACTCCCAAAATTCTTCTGCCTTAAAAATTAACTGTTTCCTTTTCAGTCTGTCGTGTATCTGGCAAGAGCCAGGGCTCCCGGTGTGCGCGGGTCTTTGGGGAATCCTACTGCACGGAATTAGGGTTGGCTTTGCGGCGATAAGCGACAGTACCACTGAAGTCGCCCCGCATCCCCAGCCATCCCCCCGACCCCCGCCGGGGTTATGGACCCATCACAGCAACGTGCTGTGACCTTGAATTTCCCCTGCCAAGTGCTTATCCGTCGTCTGCTTTTCCCCTGGCAGGTCCTGAAGCGGCAAGGCTATGACGCGGCTTGTGACATCTGGAGTCTGGGGATCCTGCTGTACACCATGCTGGCGGGGTAACGCAAACCCTCACGTGGGTGTCGGCGCTCAGGGCACCCCTGCCAAGGCTGCTGGCCCTTGTGGGCCTGTCCCTGTGCACGGTGTGGGCCCATACCTACAGACCTTGAGTTCAGTCTCCCGAGGCCCCTGCAGGACAACCCGAGAGCAAGGGCAGAAAGTCATGCCTTGCCGTTCAAGTGTGTCTCTGGAATTAGGGAACTGGGGCTCCACAGCCCAGCTCAGCTCATCAACAAAAACCCAAGCCTCTGACCGCGGGTCCACGTTCTCGCCTCTGCACCACGCATCCTCTGCACAGAGGTCACAGCATCTTTCCTTACAGACATCTTCTCGAGCCAGGAAGCAGCAACGTCTCGAAGAGGCAGGCAGCCCAGGCTCCGGGTCATAGATTCACCCTCACTAGCTCTGCTCCCGGGTGAATCACAAGAGTGACTGAGAATGGCCTGCTTTTTGCGTGGCCCTCAGTGAGGTATTTCCTAGTCAATCAGTGACTAGTGTCGCAGTGGAGGGGGGAGCCCCAGTGAGCCTGGGGCCGTGCCCTGAGGGCTGCAATAGCAAAGGAGTTTCCTGCAGTTTCTTCCCAATGCCACACTTTGTGATTCTTCTGGTGCTTACTTTGCCAATACATAAACTAGGCGTACAAACCCTGCCACTAAAGGAAGTGCGTTAGGATTACATATAATTTCCTTTCTGGGGAGGCTACACTGACCCACCCTGGTTTATGTGAAGGGGTGACAATAAACATCTATCACACACTTACAGTAGGGCAAGAACCGTTTGCATTTTGTGTGTGCTTGTGCGTACCACTGCTGTAGATCCCTGCGAGTGTATTATTCTGCCCATTTTGCAATTGAGGTTCAAAAAATGCATTTGTCAGAGAAGCCAGAGTTGGTAATAGATCGACCATGGGTCTCTCAGACTTCAAATCCCAGGCTCCCATCCACTATATACCACACTGTCACCATGGAAACCGCATCACCGGGCAAACCACTGTACCACACTGTCACCAGGGAAGCCAGAAACGGTCCAGAAAGGCTCATCCTTGGGTCCACAGAACTTTCTTCACTGGCCGAGTAAGGAAAAGAGACACAGCAGTAAGAAATAAATTACACTTTACCATGAATCCTGGATTTGGGGCATGATGGGAAAGAAAAAATTATTCTTTTTACAACAAAGAGGCAAAATGAACTTTATCTTAGATTATAAAATGGAAGCTCATTACCACATATTCTCTCATCACACAGATTTACCCCTTTTGCAAACGGACCAGATGATACCCCTGAGGATATCTTGGCAAGGATTGGCAGCGGGAAGTACGCCCTTTCCGGGGGGAACTGGGATTCCATATCTGATGCGGCAAAGGTGAGTACATTGCCCAGTGCTCTTCTTAGGTATGGAGATTCTGCAGTAACCATTTTATCTCTGAGAATACTAGAGGATACTTTTCGTGTAAATAATATAGATATTTTATACTCATAGATTTTTTTAAGACACACAGCTAAAAGAAAATTTTTGTAAAAATATTTCATAGCACTTTTCACATTTTCTACAGTCTTGGTGTATTAGGGTTCTCCAGAGATACAGAACCAGTAGGATGTGTATGTATAGAGACAGAGACAGAGAGAGATTAAGACAGAAGATGAGCGATTTATTTTTATGGAATTGTGGAGGCAAGTCCAAAATCTATAGGGCAGGCCAGAAGCCTGGAGACTCAGGGAAGAGTAGATGTTGCAGCTCTAGTCCAAAGGCCATCTTCTGGCAGAATTCCTTTTTCCTTCGGGGACTAAAGTCTTTTTTCACTAAAGACCTTCAACTGATTGGATGAGGCCCACACAAATTATGGAGAAGTTGACATTTACTTGTTAATGTTGCCTTCACAGAAACATCTAGATCACTACTGGTTCTTTGTTTTTTGGGGGGACGGTTGGCCTCACCACACGGCCTGTGAGAACTTACTTCCCCAACCAGGAATCAAACCTGCACCCTCGGCAGTGAAGGGGCAGAGTCCTAACCACTGGACCACCAGGGAGTTCTCTAGACGAGTGTTTTTTGTTTTGTTTTGTTTTTCTTTTTTTTCATTGATGTATAGTTCATTATGTAGGTTTCAGGTGCACAACATAGTGATTCACAAGTTTTAAAGATTGTACTCCGTTTATAATTATTATAAAACAGACGGGTGTTTGACCAAACACTGGGTACCATGGCCTAACCAAGTTGACGGAGAAAATTAACCATCACACTTTTAGGGATGTTGCAAAATGATAGCCCTGAGTGTTCACAGACTGATCAAGTAAAGCTCTGGTACAGGGGTGTATTCCTGTTATTAAAAAATACTCTGAATTGGGGCTTCTCTGCAGCTGCACCATGTGTGACCAGCCCTGTTTCTCTGTCCATCAGACTTGGAGTTCCTCTCTAATCAAATAGTAAATTATAGTCCAACCACAGTAAGAAACAGCATCAACAGTCTATCTCCTATGTTTCTATAAAATGACCAGAGGAGGAGAAATTCTGATTCCAGCTCTGCCATTACCATCTCTCTGTGACCTCATACAGTGATGGTGGAGGTGATGGTGGAGATGATGGTGGAGGTGATGGCGGATGTGGTGGTGAAGGTCATGGTGGAGGTGATGGTGGAGGTGATGGTGGAGGAGGTGGTGGAGCAGATGGTGGAGCAGATGGTGGAGGTGATGGTGGAGCAGATGGTGGAGGTGATGGTGGAGGTGATGGTGGAGGTCATGGTGGAGGTGATGGTGGAGGTGATGGTGGAGGAGGTGGTGGAGGTGATGGTGGAGGAGGTGGTGGAGCAGATGGTGGAGCAGATGGTGGTGATGGTGGAGCAGATGGTGGAGGGGATGGTGGAGCAGATGGTGGAGGTGATGGTGGAGCAGATGGTGGAGGTGATGGTGGAGCAGATGGTGGAGGTGATGGTGGAGGTGATGGCGGATGTGGTAAAGGTCATGGTGGAGGTGATGGTGGAGGTGATGGCGGATGTGGTAAAGGTCATGGTGGAGGTGATGGTGGAGGTGATGGCGGATGTGGTAAAGGTCATGGTGGAGGTGATGGTGGAGGTGATGGTGGAGGAGATGGTGGAGGTGATGGTGGAGGTGATGGTGGAGGAGATGGTGGAGGTGATGGTGGAGGTGATGGTGGAGGAGATGGTGGAGGTGATGGTGGAGGTGATGGTGGAGGAGATGGTGGAGGTGATGGTGGAGGTGATGGTGGAGGAGATGGTGGAGGTGATGGTGGAGGTGATGGTGGAGGAGATGGTGGAGGTGATGGTGGAGGTGATGGTGGAGGTGATGGTGGAGGTGATGGTGGAGGTGATGGTGGAGGTGATGGTGGAGGTGATGGTGGAGGTGATGGTGGAGGTGATGGTGGAGGTGATGGTGGAGGTGATGGTGGAGGTGATGGTGGAGGTGATGGTGGAGGTGATGGTGGAGGTGATGGTGGATGGTGGTGGTGCTGGTGGAAGTGATGGTGGAGGTAATGGTGGAGGTGATGGTGGAGGTGATGGTGGAGGAGGTGGTGGAGGTGATGGTGGAGGAGGTGGTGGAGGTGATGGTGGAGGTCATGGTGGAGCAGATGGTGGAGGTGATGGTGGAGGTCATGGTGGAGGTGATGGTGGAGGAGGTGGTGGAGGTGATGGTGGAGGAGGTGGTGGAGGTGATGGTGGAGGTGATGGTGGAGCAGATGGTGGAGGTGATGGTGGAGGAGGTGGTGGAGCAGATGGTGGAGGAGGTGGTGGAGCAGATGGTGGAGGTGATGATGGAGGTGATGGCGGATGTGGTGGTGAAGGTCATGGTGGAGGTGATGGTGGAGGTCATGGTGGAGGTGATGGTGGAGGAGGTGGTGGAGGTGATGGTGGAGCAGATGGTGGAGGTGATGGTGGAGGAGGTGGTGGAGCAGATGGTGGAGGAGGTGGTGGAGGTGATGGTGGAGGTCATGGTGGAGGTCATGGTGGAGGAGGTGGTGGAGGTGATGGTGGAGGTGATGATGGAGGTGATGGCGGATGTGGTGGTGAAGGTCATGGTGGAGGTGATGGTGGAGGTGATGGTGGAGCAGATGGTGGAGGTCATGGTGGAGGTGATGGTGGAGGTAATGGCAGCTGGCATTTAGTGAGCACTTCCCCTGTGTCTCACCCTGACACCCGCATTGCTCCTTCCTTCCACTCTGTTTTGAATGGGTATGGGAATTGTCTTAGTTCCGGTTCCCACAGTAGAGCCACCGACCAGGACTTGGGTGCTGGTGGTTTCCTTGAGAGGTGATTTCAAGCAGGAGTGAAGGGCAGGGAAAAGGTGGCAGGAAAGGAGTTCGTCAGATGCGGGACACATTACCAAGGTCACAGCTGCAGGGAGAGGGCTTCGCTGCCTCCCAGGACCTTTTGCCGATTTCTCCCTGCTCCTTCCCTGCCATATCTTCCCCTTGCTTGTTCCCCTGGGCCTTTCCCCACTCTGTGCTCACCACACAACAAAACCTCCAATCCTCCGAAAACAGGCAAAGCCTACGGATTTGTATGTTTTTATAATACTTTATCCGCCTCCTGCATGCACTGTATAAAAACACACTGCTTTACTGTGAGCTTTTTTTTTTTTGGCCTCACCACGCAGCTTGCAGGATCTTAGTTCCCCAACCAGAGACTGAACCCCTGCTCTCGGCAGTGACAGTGCGGAGTCCTAACCACTGGACCGCCAGGGAATTCCCTACTGTGAGTTCTTGATCAAGTCAATAAAGGTCTCCCTGCTTTCATTTTCCACACATGGAAATGGGGAGAACAGTCCTTCCAGGAGATATTTGTTTCAAGAAGTTACCAAGATTAATGTTATCAAATATCAAAAGGCATTGTATTTCTCTGCAGAAGGACATTTTATTAGTGTATATTTCTTTGTTGCGGTTTATGATCACAGATTCTGTTGAGTGATGCAACTTCACATTAAACAGATACTCTAACTGATTTCATTTCATTTTGGAATGTGATGGGAACAGTAAAAGGAGAGGAGGCTAGCGGAAAAGCACGGATTCTCGCCGAGGCTCTTCCTTGGGCACTTGGTGAACAACTATACACATCACGTCTTCACCTACAAAACAGGGATGTAATATTCACCCTCTTTCCCCCAAGGACAGCCCTGATGACTCACAGGAGCAGGTGCCTCAAGCGTGTGAAGACAGTCTCATGAATTCCATGCAGATGCAACTCACAGTTCTAATTGTACGTGTGTGTACATGTAGGTACACACATTTGCATGTATTGCCACATGTATATCTAAAGTGGAGCTCAGTCTTTAAACCCATTGTAGGAGTTTTTGTTGCTGTTACGTTACAATCAAATAAGAAAATCAGGGCTTCCCTGGTGGCGCAGTGGTTGGGAGTCCGCCTGCCGATGCAGGGGACACGGGTTCGTGCCCCGGTCTGGGAAGATCCCACGTGCCACGGAGTGGCTGGGCCCGTGAGCCATGGCCGCTGAGCCTGTGCGTCCGAAGCCTGTGCTCCACAGCGGGAGAGGCCCCAGCAGTGAGAGGCCCGCATACCACAAAAAACAAAAAACAAAAAACGAACAAACTCAAATAAGAAAATCACCTCTATGGAACATGAGTCCCTTTGGACACAAGTAACGGCAGCAGATTGTTAATTCCACAGTTGGTGATTATTTGCAGCAAATATTTGTGGATTTGAGGATAGTAATATTTATTATATGTGATAAAATGTAACTGAGGACATTGTTATGATTGGTTTATATCTGTGGGATAGTCATTATTTCAGCTTCTCCCTTTGGAAGATTATTGTTTTTACTCAAATGATATTTCAGTAACTTACACCCGCTATTGAACGTTTCCACATTTGATTTCTCTTCAGACATAAAATCTTTAATACTGTATGAACCTGGGGTGATCCGCCAAGTTGACGACGGTTAAAACTTTAAAAAAAAATTCACATGTATATAAACCTGGGGGTAAACGTTCGGCCCCAGGCACAGAGCTTCACTGTCAGCACGGTGGTTGGGTGTCGCCGTGAGCAGGGGAGGACTTTTGCTGAAAGCCCCTGAGAAGCAGCAGCACCCACTGCCCTCCCCCCACAGGATGTCGTATCCAAGATGCTCCATGTGGATCCTCAGCAGCGCCTGACAGCAGTTCAAGTCCTCAGACACCCGTGGATTGTGAACAGAGAGTACCTGTCCCCAAACCAGCTCCGCAGACAGGACGTCCACTTGGTGAAGGTACCGACCACTGGTCCCCACGGCAGAATGGTGGGAGCGGGGACTCCGGAGAGCTGCCCCGATACCTGCATGGCTAACCCCAGGGGTCACGGGGTGCCGGAAGGGAACCCGCAACAGGCCCAGGTAGGCATCCCAGGTGTATTTACGGTTACTTGGTTCATCCCATACATGCAGTCACATGCCAGACTCTGAACAAGTGACAACTTCTGTTAACACAGAAGGGGTGGCCCCTCTTCTGGGAGGTGTGCTGTGCCCCCAGCCGTGCAGCGGCTGGGGTTCTCCTGCTGGGAGCCGCCCATTCAAGACCACCCGAGGGTTTAGAGCTGCTCCAGGAGGGGCCCAGTCACCCAGGTTGGTCCCGGATCCTCAAGATTGGCAGAGCTGGGGTGCCATTGCCAGGAGGGCACCCCAGGGACCCAGCAGCCGCAGAGCGGATCGGGGGCCGGGAGGACATCACCCCGGGGCTCCCCGGGAGCCCAGAGCGTCTACCCCCAGTCACCGCACGGTTCACAGATGGGGTCAGGGGGGCGGGTGGACACGGCAATCAGAACAACACCCTGATGTTTGAGAGCCGGTGCTCCGTGGTCCTGAAGGAAGGCCTCCCGTAGCCCAGGCTCGGCAAGGCCCAGGCCGGGTCGGGGGCCGGCACCGCGTCACCGCCGCTCCCTTGTGTTGCAGGGAGCGATGGCCGCCACCTACTTTGCTCTGAACAGAGCCCCCCAGGCCCCGCGGCTGGAGCCCGTGTTGTCCTCCAGCCTGGCCCAGCGCCGGGGCATGAAGAGACTCACGTCTACGCGGCTGTAGCCGAGCCCGGCGCCCGCTCATCCTGCACCTTCTCGGGCAGCCGGAGAGGATCCAGGCGGGTGACCTCCTGACGCCTGGCTGTGCCGACCTTGCCATCTCCGCCCCCAGCCAACCAGACGGAGTCCTTCCACCGCAGACCGTGCCGAGTGCCTGGAGGCTCCTCCAGCCCGTGGGTCTTGCACTGTCATGGCTTGTGTTTCCATGGAGACACGTGTTTTCCAGTTATAAAGTCAGTGACCTGGTCTGATTTCCAGCACACACAGCCCAGGTGTCACGGTGCGAAGGTGACAGTTAACGGCAGAGCCCTGGGGGCCCGGCTTCTGCGCCTCTGCCCTTGCCCACGGCTGAGTGGCCAGTGGGCACAGGGCACCTAGGAGCAGACGCCTGGTCCCTCCAGATGATCCAAAGAGCCCTCGTCTCATTGCCCCCCACTTGGGACTGAGGCCCCCATGTTCTCTCCCGTTGCAGATCTGATGGGGCGAGGCCACCCTGGCCCCGGGAGCAGCAACTTCCCCTCGGTGGCCACGTTTCACAAGAATCGCTCGCGTCCCCGGGAGGGAGCCAGCCCAACTTGGGCCCATGTTTTCGCGTTCTCCTGAGGACCGGGGTCTGCAGGAGCGGCTTCGTCACACTCCCCTCCCCGCTCAAGGGTCGCCGCGGCCGCCCCGAGCTTCCGAGAGGGCCTGGGCTTCCCTAAGTGCTGGTTTTCCCCTTTCATGGAAACCCTGTGGCCCGTGGGAACCCTCAGTTGGGTTGCCTCCCGTCAGTCCATTCTCGGTTCCGCTGGAGACCCCTGCCCCCTGCTCAGGGCCAGAGGGGAGCAGAGGGTGTGTTGCTGAGAGCAGGGGTGCCCTTTGTGGAAGCTGTGCTTTTGTGTCGTGCTTTGTGTTTCTGTTGCACAGGTCTGTCCTCACCTGACATGTCAGGGATATTTAATGTTTCCCCCGGGGCGTGTGAACACAGAAGTGGGTGTGATGCAGGGCAAGCCACCGCCGGGGCCTGGAGGACAGGCCTGTGTCCTCCCAGCCGGCCCCAAACCAGGGGGCCACCAGCCGGCTGACTGGAGGGCCCTTGCCCACCGTGCTGTGACTGGCCAGCATCGCTGGGCACCCCCTGCCCTCGGGGGGAGGGGGGGCACCTGTTGGTCTCAGCCGGGTTTTCACCAAGAAGACAATTTCTGAAAGTCCCTCCATTTCAACTCACTCTGGTACCCAACTCGACCGACAAAAACAAAAACAATGCCGCCTTCTAAAAAATAGCTCCGTAGCTTGGTCTAATGGTTTTCAGACCTGAAAATATAAATGTATCGCAGAAGCTTTCATTATCCCGTGGGCCTTTTTTTTTTTTTTTTTTTTTCCTCAGAACCACAAGGAATAAAAAGGTGGGGACAGATTCATGTACCTGTTTTCTCACAAAGCCCTCTTGGGCACTTGGCATATTTCTCAATAGAAAGTGCTTTTTCCCAAGGCTCAAAAGACTTCCACCCACAATAGTTTTGTTTTAGGTCAGAACTATTTTGTCTGTTATTAGAAACTTAGGAAAACCTGGGTGGCCCCAGGTCACAGATTTTTGCCCTCCCAGAAATCGACAGTGGTCCTTGTATCTTGTGTTTGCCGCACAGGCAACGGCCGGTCCATCAGCCGCCTGGGCCTCTGTCCTGGGCTTGTTGGCACGTTGCTGGTTTGCTTGAAGTCCGTGTGTTGTGATGGAAGGGGACAGAACAGAGAGACAGAGATGAAGCATGGCTGGGAGAGCGGCCAGCACGTGTTTTCTGTGCATCACACCAGCCCCCTTACGTGTGCAGCCTTAGTTCTGACTGTTCAGAGCCCCGCGGGGACCCCGGGACTCGCCCGCACCGGACCCTGCCAGTGGCAGGGGCACCCCGGCTCTTCCCCACTCTCTCCTGAACCAACTCGAATGCCCTGAGATACCTCCATTCCCTCGCCCTTCTGCAAAACAAAGTGGTACTTGAAACCCTTCTGCAGAGAGGCAGCCTAGAGAAGCTGAGAGCCTGTGTTTAATTGAACTGGCTTAAGTCTCAAGTAGCCAGTGGCTGGGCTTCCTAACCGGCAGTCGGTATGTGAATGAAGGTGCGATCACCGCGTTATTCACCTGTATGGGGCACCTCCACCATTCACGCAAGGCCTTGTGGGATCTGCACACGTGGTGTGACAGCCCAGCAAGTTAACTGGCTGCCCTGCCCTCCTGTAGAGTCAGACCCCCTCTGGATCACCAGAACCACAGACTTGGTTGTGATAAACCCGAGCCCGGGGTCTCAGGCCTTCGGCCCTGCCGGTCCCCCTCCGTGGCACCCACTGTAGTCCCATCCACCCCGGCGCCTGCCCACTTTAAGAGAAACACCTGATGCCCCCCAGAGGGAGAGCTTTGCCCAATGCTGCCCCCCACGTCACACGGGGCAAGAGTGAGGTTTCACTTGTTCCCCAGGGGCAGTGGGGCGTGATTTCAGACCACCCGCGTGTGTGTTGCTGCGCGGAAGGCTGTCAGGGCTCGAGTGGCCACGGGTCCGATGCGAGCTGGCCCTGCTCACTAGTGGCGTGACCCAGCGCCGCTCTGGGGTGGTGGCCTTGCTTCACTGGCTGCCTCCAGCACAGGAGGGATCTGATCTGCACTCGTCCTCACCCACGTGGTTTGGTGGCCCTCACCGCTCTGAGAGCCGTGAGATTCTAGAATGGAAAGGACGCCGCAGGCCCTGAGTGACGAGGAGAAGCCACCCGCAGGCTCAGGGCATCACCGGGAAGGGACCCGCCAGCTGCAGCCGAGCCCGCGCTCTCCCGAGGACACCGCCAGCACTTGGTGTCCCTGCCCGCATCCGTGTTTACAGGGGACTCTCATGTTCACGCTTTATATTTTATGTTGGAGATGGGCGGCCACTCTACGATATTTATTACGCTTTCCAGACTTTCTGAATAGATTTTTTTAATAAACGGGTTTTATGAAGTGTAATATTTTTCTAGCATTACTGTGATATTGGACTTCTGTCCTGTCAAGAATAACAGTCTGCAGGTGAGCTTCTTACCAGGCCCTCCCCCGTCCCCTTGCACCGCCTTCTGGCTGCTCCCAGCCTCTGCTGCCACCAGCTGGCCTCTTCATGGGGGCAGGCGGCACGGCCATCCCCCACCCTGAGAGCTGTGCGTGCACGGGGCCGCGCGTGCGTGCACGTGTGGGTGTGTAAGCACATGCCCAAGTGCGTTGGGTGGTGTGTGTGTTTGTGCACACGTGTGTGTGTGAGCACATGTGTGTGCGTCTGCTCCCCGTGCAGCCCGGCAGGAGACGGGATGGGCATGTTGGTAACGAAGCAGGTGGCCCGGGTGGGCTGCTGGGCGCCATCCCCGCGGTCTCTCCCAGGTGTACCACCTGCCACCTCACGCCCAGCTTTTCTTCGTACAGTAATAAAACAAGAAGCTACGCTGTCGGTCGTGAGCTCTGCAACCTAATTTCTTCTTCCCTCTTGGTCAGTTCCTAACCTGCGTGTGTCAGCCGGTGGGACCCCCCCAACGCACACATCTCTGCCATCGTTTGGGGGCTGCTTCCCCAGCAGCTGAGGGATCTTCCCGAGATCCTACAGCCTCACGGTGCAGGTGGAGCTGAATTTCAGGGCCAACAATAACGCCCAAGGAATTCTTTCTCCTGCTGCCCCAGAGCGTGCTCAGAAAACGCCAACTGGAAGAGATTGAATTGGAGAAAGCATCTCTTACATCCGATGTGTGTTATCTTCTGTTGCCACTGTGATAAATTCCCTTAACCTGGTGGTGCTGAACAATTCGTTATGTGATAGTTCTGGAGGTCACAAGTCCAGATGGGTCCCATGGGGTGAAATCAGGGTGTGGGCAGGGCTGCATTGCTTCTGGGGGCTCCAGGGGAGACCTTTCCAGCCCTTTTCCAGTGTCCCTCCAGCCTCAGAGCCAGCCGCAGGGGCCGAAGCTACGGTCCTCACATCTGTCACCCACCTGGAGCACCCAGGACACGCTCCCTTCTGTAAGGCCAGCTGGTTAGCAACCTGAATTCCACCTGCCACCTCAGCTCCCCTTTGCCCCGGCACCAGCACGTGACATCTTTGCGGGGGCCCGTCACTCTGTCTGCCGGGCCAGCGAAGATCTGGCCACACGTTTCAGCCTGTGTGTGGTTCACAGGGGGACGAGATTCAGGAACTGTGTTGCTTTGGGGCTTTGCTTTCTCAGAAGCTGACAAGTTACCTGCCGCAGTCTCGTGGATGCCGGACCGAGACACGAGACTCCGGGTCAGAGCCCAGCCACCCCCATAGCAAACAGCGAGACCCCGTGTGCGTCAGTCCCCTGGCTCCCCGATCTCACGGGGGTGGTGGAGTATGGCCCAGGCCGAGGGTTGCCCAGAGGGCTGTGTGACAGCCGGGGCCTGACTTGGGAAACACCAGTTATAAAGGGCTGCAGGCAAACAGCCATCCTTTGCCCGGGACGGGGACGCAGTCCTGTCTCCCTGGCTGTGCAGTGTCTCGGGGGACGTCCCGCTAACTCAACCGCAAGCGCACACATGCGTCTTTTGCAGGATGTAACCTGGTCCTCCAGGTACCTTTCATGCAGAGCATTGTATCTATACTTGCAAATCCAGCTTTGCCACTTGTCCTAAGTAATGCCAACCCAGACCATTGGCCGTATTTGCTTCCCAAGATGCTGGAAACATGAGGCGGGTAAGGGAGCCTCGGGCCTGTGCTCCTGGTTTCCAAGGCAGCCCCCGGGTCACCCAGTTATGCCGCCCACCAAATCCCTGGTGTTTTATCCGGTCTGTGACCTCCTAGGTAAAATGAGTAAATCTCGTGTACGAGGGCAGATGTCAGGGCAGCTTGTGACTCAGGATCCCGAGTCAGAGGCTGGGCAGGGGGTCGGGCTCTGCTGCCAGTGTGGTGTGGAGGCGTCCCCATCCCAGGGCTCGGATTCCTTGGCCATACAAGGGTCGAGGCCACCTCCACTGATGGGAGGACAACTGACCCAGCTGTTTCAGCTTGTCAGTGCTTTCACATAGT